ATAAGCGCTCATTTTTTTCATATAACTGGACACAGATTTCACTAAAAACAGACCCCCAATTTTTAATAATTTGGCAAAACTGAAACCCTCCTGTTTGATTTCCAAGAAAGGTTTGGGTTTTCTTGCCACATTTAGCTTAATAATTAAATAACTGCATGTAAACAACTTAGCTGTAAACAACTTACGATGGACACTCCCAAACTTTGCTGTTGATCCTGGAGGTGCCAAGCTCTCCCAAAATGTACTTGTTAGGAAAGTGATATGATAGTAAGCCACCAGAAAACCCCTGTCACATCAAGCATACTCCACTTCTCCAGCCTCAAGCTCCTCTGCTCTGCTAAATTGACATCTGTCTTCTAGCAATGGGAGAATTTGAGTCAGCTAATTTGTGAACCTCTGCTTTGTCTTCAGGATTTAGTTTTTTTGGCTGATGTCAGAAGAATTAGAAAATGGTAATGAAAGCAGAAATTCTCTTGAGAAAACTTCTCTGTGAGGAAAAACAGCCTCTTTATCATCAAAATTGTTTTTGGTACAACATTTTGAAGCACTGACATGCACATAAATCCAAGCAAAACTATCTTTGTCATGGTGTCTTTTCCTTTCTGACTACACCACATGACACAGGCTAGTGGCCCCTTGTGGCTGTGGAGATTGAGGATCTGTGCAAACAGAGGTAGTACTGGCTTCTCATATCTGTATAAAAACAGCCTGTGATTGTGCACAGATACCTGTTTCCTTCCCTTTGTTCTGATGATTTCTGTGCAGTGAATCACAGGCTGGGTTAGGGACTGGTCTGCTCATTTGCACAGAGCTAAAGAGTCTGCAGTCTTCACCTTGGCGTGGGGACCCTGTTGGATGAAATACTAGACATGGGAAGAGCAGCACTTACATACTTTATTTAGTGCATATTGCTCATAGTGTAAGGAAAGCAGAACTTAGTATGTCTCCTCTGCGATTATAAGGAATTATTAGGTTTTTAACTTCTACCTGTGCTTTCTAGACGAAGGTTTTATAATTTAGAAGAGTAGCAATTTGAGTAGGAGAGATGTACCTCCTACCTCTTTCTTTTCTTCAGCTTTTTTCCCCCACTAATGTATTCTGTGGGCTTTAGGGATGAGACAAATTGCTCTGTGTTAGCAACAAGAGGAAAATAAATGAGACTGAGCTCAGGAAAGTCTCATTGCAAGGCCAGTGGTGAAAGCACTGGTTAGTGGGAAGGAATGGTGCTGTGTGTTTGGTGTCCTGGTCCCAGGACTCCTTTGGTATTTTACATGCTGTCACTGTGTATAAAAATAAAGAAAGAGCCCTGCAGGCAAGAAATACAAGCAGCTCTCCCAGCCCTGGATAAGTGCAATAAGCAGTGGGCCATAGCCTCATATTTCTGCTTGTGTTCTCTTTTTGACACTTTTATTTTTTGACTGGTGGTACAAATTTAAGGAGAAGCTCTCCCTCTTAGTATCCTGTCCTGGTTTGAGCAAGGATAGAACTAAACCATGACATATCCTAATGAACAGGAGGTGGGAGGAGAGGAATGGATACCTCAGTAGGCAGCAGGAGAGGAAACCTTAGTTCTCTGTGTTTGTGGTGGATGCATTTACCACAGTAGCCCATGAAAAGACTAATTATTTCTTATGTGTATGTATGCCTACAGTGCATATACACATTTGTACAACAGTCTTTGGGAAGATACTTGAGGCCACTGTGCTATTTGGTGGGATCCCGGTCCTGCTAGATGTGCCCTGAGTTTTCTTGGCAGATGGCAAGGAGAGCTACATGAAGGGGAACTTTGTACCTGATCCAGTTTAGGAATGAGCTGAGAACCAAGCCAGTTAACACGGGTCTGTTGGCTAAGTGGAGTGGCTGTGTTCCTTGACTTCTCAGTACTGTCTTTCAGGCATTTTATCTGCTGATTTACATGGCTCTGAAACATTACTGCTAGGGACCAATTTAAGACGGGGCACACACTAAACAGCTTCATTCACACCTGTTCTGAAGTATTCATATCTGTGCTGTAGGCTTTTGCTTTTCAGACAGCTCTAGGTGTTTCTATGTCTCTTAGACATAGAAAATGTCTAAGAGAGCAGGACAGCATTCTTTTGCAAGGAACCATATGTGTGAATGAATTTCCTCAATACCCGCTCTGGCCAAGCTCTGCACTCTCTACACCAGCAAATTCACATGTGCTGAGGAAGAAGTCAGGCAGTGCCATGCCACTGGGTGCTAGCAAGCTGTTAGGGTCCTCCGTCATGTTAACTGGGCTCATTGTGACCAGTGGTCTTCCCAGACAGTTCACCCATACCCAGAAACCATTTTGAGTAGGTAGGTATATGGTTCGTACACAGCTGCCCGGTTTCAGAGCCAAGAACATTTACTGGCTGTGATCCTAAGCTATCTGCCTTCAATGCTGAATGCTTTATAGGACACATTTAACATATTGGTACAGGTTAAGACATAGGTTACGTGAGAGTTTCAATGAATGTCAGGGCTGAGGTGACTGATAAGCAGATTCTAGTCTGATTTGGTAAATCCATCCTCTGCTTACTTGGTAATGTTGGGGATACAGGAAGAAGACACATTGTCTCTGAAAAATGGTGGTTGGTGAATTATTTGGGTGCCTTGCTGGCCCTGGAAGATCTCAATTTCTAGTGATGGGAATGAAACAGATTCTGGCTCTGGTCATGGATATCATAAATGTCTTCCTACATAATACAGGACGTGAGTCTTAGTACACAGCTGCTAATACAATAAGCTGTGAGTTCTGCCTGTGCCAAAGAGTTTTTTTAACTCTCTACCACCTAACAGAAGGGATTTGGGGCACCATAGTGCTGTATCCTGTAGTTTGGGAAAGCTGTAAGCAAAATGTGAGGTCACCTGAATTACCTGAGGGGGCACATTAGGGAGTGGTTGAAAAAGCAAGTGATTCTGAGGTTTCCCTAGTGAAGTTCCAAACAGGCCATTACTCTAATGCTTCTGAATCTAGTACATTACAGCAGTGACTTCAGGGTCATGATTGTTGCACACCAGTTAGGACACCCACATACTCTCAGGAAGGTAACAACCACTCCATCAGGCACTGAAATTCCATCTGAGATTCATGCAAAGATGTCATTTTATGGATTTGGTCAATAAATTCTGCAGTCCCTTTCCATATCTAGGAAAGAAAACTAATTACTGACTCAGATGGGCAATAAGTTAAAAGAAGAGAGGGCATAATGTGACAAAAGCAAGTTAGATAGCTAATGCCACATGAGCTAACAGCTTCACTCACATGGGAGTAATGTTCCCCCTGAGATTTTTCTTTACCTGCAGCATGAAAGAATAAGATTATTTCTGTTCAGATAGGAACATTTTACATTTCCAAGAGGAAAAAAAAAAATTAACATTGTCTCATGTGATAATTTTTAATTTATGTATATTGGGCCAGCTGTTTGGCTGATAAAAGTCATAATAACTACACTGATCACATAGGAGCTTGCACCAAGTTGATGATTCAATGTTTGTTCATTTAAGTGTTTAGATTTAGCATATGTATTAGCCTCAGCACAGAGAATATGGTTTTCATCACTGGTTTAAAGGATTTTTTTGGGGCAGAAAAGATGGATTCTTCTCTCAGTGACACTTAACTCCATCTTGGAAGTGAGGATTAAACCTGGCCATTATGTGTAAAATGAATTGTTTTGTGTGGAATATCCACATATGGAATATCCACCAATACTTTGATTTGGTATTCATATGGCTATGCTTACTCCATCTGTCTCAGTTATAAATATTTTAAGTGCATATTTCAGTAAATTTTAGGGTTTGTAACAATGTAATAAAATCAAGTAGATGTGTAATAAATTCTGGCAAGCACAGAAACTCAGTTGTTTCTCACTAGGATTCTGTGTAGCTACTCAAAAATGTCTTGCTATGGCTGGAAAAATATTGAACCAACCCTAAACTTCAACAAATATGCTGCTAAAAAAGATTATTTTAGTATCTTTAGAACAACAGACTGGATTGCAAAAAATAAATAGCAAATATGCTTGCAGAAAAATATCAGTCTGGATTTTCTACTTTTTTTGGCTTAACATTCCAAAATGCAGACTTACCTAAGAACCACATACTGATGTAAGGGTGAAAGCTGATGTTTTTTCAATTCCTCCATTTCCACATTCAACCAAATCCCTCCCTCCACCAAATGCTTTGAGTACAGTGGGGAGAGCCATTAGTCTCCCACCATGTCTTTCTGATTTGGACTTGTCCAAATAACCTAGCAGCTTTTGCCAGAGTGCAGGTAAATTCTTCTGTGTGATGGTTTTGAAGCAGATTACTCCAACATTTTCTACAGCCTTCCAGTCCATGAGTCTTCCTCTGTCCCTCAGGTAGCAAGGAGGTCCCAGCAATCTTCCTTAATTCCTGCATTAGGGAACTCCTAGGGAACATACCCAATAGCCACAACTGGTGTTACTCTGAGCCTGCTCTGCCTTTTTTGGCCAAAATCTCTCTCCTTTAGAAATAGACTGAGGAACTTGCATTTAAGACTAGTTTCTTTCAATCTAAGAAAAGAAAGGCATGGGATAGGCAGGCAGCATGATGATACTTCAGTAACAATAACAAGGTTCATGAGGTTTTGCTCAATCTAGGTGAACCTCTGTTTAAGACAAATTTTGTGTGTAAATGAATATTATCAAGCCTTAGAGATTCCAGCATTCAAGAATTGAATTAAAATGTCTGTGTTTTGTTTGTAGAGGTAGTTTTATGTTATATGAGGGTTTTACAAATATTTTCTTATAATTACGTGGTTTTTTCCTTAGGAGAACTGTGTGCTGACTAGCAGCTATCTTCAGATACCAGTGTACTAAAACACTGTCAAAGGCAACACTCAGGAACTGTCATGTCAGAGCTTTGCTTTACTTCTGCCTGGTGAAGTCTGGTGCAAATAGAAAAATGTCAAGTGTTTTGTCTCACCCATAATTAAAAGGTGAATGTTCTGTTTATGTGTTTTCTTACAGCTGGCAGCATTAGAGAGACAGATCTTTGACTTCCTTGGTTTCCAATGGGCTCCTATCCTTGGAAATTTCCTACAAATAATAGTTGTCATTTTGGGTTTGTTTGGAACCATCCAGTTTAGGCCTCGATATATAGTCGTGGTAAGTCTCATTTATTATTTGTTATTTTTTACAATTTGTTTTAAAACCTGTCATGTTACAAAGCAGGATTTTCTTGGCTTGAAAACACCAGATGGTATTTCTGTAGAAACTTCAGAGGTCTTCATGTCTTACTGCAAATTTAGGACTACTGAGTAGCATTTCTGAGATTTTGGGAAGATATCAAGAATGGGTACACCTAGAGAAAGTGCTACCAGAGGTATGACTGTGATACAAGTTCTTAGTAAGATTATTTAAAGAATTAAATACCTCGATGGATCATGGGAACATCGACAATTAGACAGTACGTAAATGAAAAAAATAAATAAATAAATAGTTGTTCTCTTTGCACTAGACAAGCAGAATCAATTTCCATTAAAAAAAAATAATTGTAATGGTCAGAGTATCTTTAGCCACATATTCCTCTTCAACAGGGAGAAGTGAGAATTGTAGAAATTCCTTTGGTCCTGTGACCCATGGGTTCAAAAAAGATCTCCTCCTTACATTTAACTTTGCCAAGACCTGTATTTATGGCCTCGACCTTAAATTATTGTAAATTCTCTCTAATGCTTGTAACTGGAAGCTTCACAGATTTTTATTTTTATTTTTCCCATGTTCTCAATGTAGCCAGGAAGAAAAAAAGTTTCAAAACTGTGAAGGAAACTGCCAACAAAAAAATACCCCTTTTCCTCCCCCACAGTCTCTACTGAATGAATGAATATCATGTCTTTCTTTACCTGGCAGTGTCTGTATCTGGAACATTTCAGTTGTGCTGTCAGTAATGCATTTTAAGAGGCTAAAGTTACTACTTTTTTTCCTCACAAAAGAGTGAAATAAATGTCTACTGGGGAAAACTCATTAGACAAATACTTTAAAAGCTTCATCTTTTCTAGTCAAGCCTTAAATCCTCTCATTCTTTGCCATGTCTTAAATGGAAAATTTAACAAAAATTGCACTTGAGCTTCTTTATACTCACATTAGGTAAACTTCACAAGCAGACTATAAGGAATTGGAAATGGATTGATGTAAATAATAGCACTTTTGTCTATTACCTGTGGTTGGAGAACTGGACAGCAGTGTATATGTATATATATCCATATATTGTTGACTCACCTTTCTGCTTCATGTTCTTCATTTTATACGTAAGACACCAGAAGCAAGTGAGGGTAAACATCTGTGAAATTACGTAGGAAATTGGTGTCTGAAGTGCAGCAGAACAAAATCTCTTGCCCCTCAGGTTCAGCTCTGCTGTTCAGTGGTGAAAGCTCTGCTTTAGTTTTAAAATGAAACACAACAGATGTTGACTGTTTCTAGATATTTTCCAATGTAAATTAACATTTTAGATTTCATTGAAGTTGTTTTAAAGTAGAGGTAGAAAACTTGTAATTAAAGAAACATCCCAACAAGATACTTTATCCTCAGATTTAACTGAACTCTCATTCTGATTTAACTTTAAGCATATATTTAAGATCTCAAGCTAAAGCAGATGTGAATACTTACTACTTGGGAAGATCAAGACTTTAGAGCAGTTTCTATCCCTACTAACACAAGGTTCTCTGTGGAGTAGGAATAGTTTGAGTCAAATCCTGAAGTCTGAAGAGTGAAAGTGTAGAGGTTGTCTGGAACCATCCTCAGAGGTAGTTCACCAGCAGAATGCCTCCCTGTTCCCACTGTTCTTTTCCCTGCGTCAATACTTCTCCAAACTCCACTGATTCTGGCAGTAGTTAATCAGACCCTTCAGTAAGCCATTTCCAATCCTAAACTGTCAGAAAGCAAGAAAAAAGCAGAGACTTTCTGCTGATTGGTGAGCTGAACCCAGGCTGTGAGGTCCCCAATGGGTTCTAGGGCCAGCATAAGGCAGGGGTTGGGACTGCACAGTCATGAACAGCTGTATGGAGTTGGAGGGGAAAGGAGAGGCAAGATTTCCCTCATTGCAAGCTACAAACTTGTCAGTTCAGCCTCTTGTCTATCTTCATCCTCAGGCTGAATTCAAAGAATACATCAAGCCAGCACAAGGAATAACCCTCCTTTTGCTCAGGCAATACCTTCCGTCCATGCACTATTCCTTCATTTGCACCAGCACAAGTGTCAGTTCAGCCACTTGGTAAACTATCAAACCAAAACAGATGCATCTGAAAAACAACCATTTTCTTTTATAGTGTTTATTAGAAGTAGGTTAGCTCTCTGACCTTTTTCACTTGTTTGGGCAGGAGGGAGGAGGTGTGAGAGGGGAAACAGGAACAGGGAGCCAGCTCTAGGTTGTCTTCACTGAGGCAAGAGGGAAACCAAAAGACATCTCTCCCCAGGAAGGACATAGACTGCCTTCCTGCTTCTGAAAACCTTTAAAAACACAGTACACTTGTTATAGAAGTAAATTTTACTGCTTGCTTAAAATATAAATCTGGTTTAATGTAAATCTTCTGTAGGGTCCTGAACTACAGTATTACTTAAACACAGTGCAGAGAGATTCCTACTCAGGTTCTGAGTCGTGAATTGGGCTCCAAATTGATTGAGAAGCTTCGTGGGCTTCCAAGTTTGCAGCTGCACCTTCTGCCACATCGAAATCCCTGCATATGGTTGGTGTCCCACATTAAAGCAAGAATTTGGTACTGTGACAAAAGAAGTAAGCTGAGTCATACTTTTATGTACTCTGATTGCTGAAGTTTCTTGTTTAAATATGGCTAAATCCAGTTTAACTTAAAAAGTATCAAAATATTTCAGGAAAAGTATGCTTATTATCCATAGTCTTTTCCTTAAGACTTCCCTGGAAATCTGCTTTCCTAGTGCAGATGATCTGATTGGCATATAAAAAATTGAAGCAAAGAGACAATCATGTCAGATATAGCAGCTTACTTCTGTAAATTGTTTACACAAAATTCATCTGGCACAGTTGGGCACAAGTTGCCCACATTGTATTCTATCTTACTGTATTAGGGATCTTGACTAAGCTAATCTCAAATGAATGTCTTTAATCTATCTTCTGTACAATGAAGGCACAGACTGTGCCTGAGAGGTTTCCCTGGCTAGAGATATTACACAAAATCTTTCCGTTTGCCATCCTATGCTACATATGTCATGTTCTCTCCCCTTAAAATTTAGCATGCAGCACAAATGTGAAAGTAAGTGAATAAATATGTTATGTGTTGGGCCATAACTTGAAGCGCATCTCTACTCCAGTTAAATAAGAGGTTAGCTTTACAGGCACAACTGAGAAGACTTCCCATGCAGGTACCTAGAGCCAAGGAGCTCAGTGGGGGCTGTGATAAGAGAATGGATTAAAAAAAAAAGCAGTTGTATGCTTCTAACTCTTCCACTGTCATTGAACCCAGGCTAGCTAGTTTACCTCTATCATTTAATGACTACATAAGCTGCAGTCGTTTCTTTGACAGCAACATAAGCATAGCTGTTGTAGATTAAAAGTCTGAATAAATAAATTAGTTTTACTTCATAGTTCGAGTGATACAAAATTTGGTCAGAGAGTTTTCTACCAAAAAATACTCCACCCTCTATGAGCTCCCACACAATGGTTGCTGACTCATGAAGCATTTCTGTTGAACACAATTCTCATTCCAAATAAATAAAAGTAGTGGATCATGTTGTCTGTCTATGATCCTTCAGATACAGGACTATAGGGATGGTGATTCTGCAGTAAATCTGGAATTTCACTTGCTCATAGATAAATTTCTAAGTCCTCAGAACTTAGGAAACACAGAGAGAGAATGAGAGAAAGAGGGAGAAACAGCATTAACTCCGAGTGTCCTAATTAGTTTAAATCAAATAATCATTTCTAAAAGGTTTTGTATTAATTAGTAATTTAGATCAATGTTTGTGAACAATTTGTCCTGTCAGTAAGTGGATATGATATTTTTCAGTACTTGAATATTTTGTGGCTGGATTAAATCAGTGCAAAGTTCCCAGGGGACACAGAAGTGCAGAGCCAATTTTTAATTTTCCTATATTAGCTCATTTAAAACTTACCCCAACATTTGCAAAGAAAAAGCAACTACATTTCACTTCTAACTATGCTGTAACACACCCATCATGCAGCTCCAGAGCTCTGCTGTGATCATTTCCCTGTGCATGCTTTTCCTTTCTTGATAGAACCTGCTATCACCAGCAAGATTTCAGGCTGTTAAAATTGATTAAAGATGATGACAGGATACTTGTTAAAGTTGTGGGTTTTTTTTCCTCTCTCCTACCTATGGTATGTGATTTCAAAAGCTTTCTGAATGATGAGTCATGTAGCTTTGATTGAATAAACCTGGCTTCAAGCTGATCATAAATGTATTAATGAACAGTGGGAGTTGAAAATAATACACTTACATAGGGAGAATATAAGGCGGAAATCTCTGCTTTGCTTGCCTTTATTTGTTTGATTAAATAATGTGTGTAGGCCATATGTACATCTGAAAAACAGAGGCAGTTTCTTAAAAAAAAGTATACACAAACTAACAAAAATAACCCAAAACAAAACAAAAGAAAGGCTATACAGAACTATACAGGTTGTTTTTTGCAGTGTTCGAGCAAATGGTATATAAATACTCTCACAATTTCAAAATGTGAAATATTTAACTATCCAAAATTACTCCTTGAATATCCTTTCTGGTTAGTCGTGAGTTATCACTGTTCTGCGGTGTTGATTTATGCCACTTTCCTTGCCGTCTTTCACAGATGTGACTGCATAAGGCTGTGTGAGTACTGATGCCTCTGAGGCACAGCCAGGTATTACAGGAAGACAGTCTTGTGACTCAGTAGTTGCTGCCTTTACCTCAAGTATCCCTAAGCCAATATTCATTTCCCCTAACACCAAGAGACTGCCAGAGGTGGTGCTTCATTTCAGATTAAATATACACTTGAGATAGTTTATTCATTAAAGCTAAATTTTTCCCACAATTCTTGTGGTATTCAAAATTAGAAATTTCCCTTTTTTCTCTTACTTTCTGCTTAAGAAGCCATCCTTTGCATTTTTCCTTAATGCCTTCTTTTTGTGACATTGTGCCCATCTAATATCAAAGATTTAACTCTAGAAGTGATTGCACTTCACTGGTATATGAAAGTATCTCTGCATTGGTTTCAATATGACCTGTAGACTCAAAAAAGGTATAGAAATATCACTATTCTAGAGAGGCTGGCATTAAGAAAAGGCATCTGAAAAGAACCTACTGGGTTCAGCAATAATTTAATAGACATTGAACCTCTAAGGTTTAGCAAGTTCTGTCTCCACATAACATATAAGACTCAAAATGCTTCCTCACACCACAGAGTATACAATCTTAGTGCAAAAGTCCAAATGCAAGAAAGTATACATGGGGAAAAAGCCACAAAGATTATCACGAGTGTCCTTGCAGAAGGAGGAATATGTTACAGGAAAACATGATTTTTAAGTAGTGCCTCATAGGGGCTATTGAAAAAAACAAACCTCAAACCCCTCCTTTTTTATTGATTCAACCTGTGTGGAAAATTCCTTCTCCATGCCAGATATGGTGAGGGTTGTGCTGCTGAGCATGAGTCAGAGAGGACTGAACATGGCTGGCAAAAGAGCTAGGGCAGGAATTGCTGAGTGTGGGTGGTAAGAGTGAGCAGACACAGCAGGACCATCAGGGTAGTGTACAGGACATGGGGCAGGAGAGGCTGAATGGCAGGTGAGGTCATGAAACAAGTTAGGTGAGGTGCCATTGGAGGGAAATGAACCCCTGTATATCAGTTTGAACCTGGTGCTTCAGACCCTAACCACTCCTCCCTTAACTGCAAATGTCTGCCAGAATGCATGGCACCTTCCCCTGCCTGTTGTCCCTTCATACAAAGGACAGCCATGCAGGACTGGAGACAGTTTCTCAGGTAGCTCAAAGGAGAGATCTTCTTAATGGATACAACAGTTAAACCTCATATAGAAACCCAAGCAGGTGTTAGTGTGATGCCACATAATAGAATATTATTAATTTTATTTTTTTTTTTTAACCTTGAAGGTACATACATATACATTTATGTAAATCACGTTCAGAAAGTATTACCATTTTTTTCAGGAAGAAACTCAGGATGAAGAATATGTGTTATGAGAGCCCTCCTGTGCAATCATAATATGATCCTTTTAGATATTCGCAGTACTGAACAGCTTGGGTGCATATGAGTTTTTTTCTAGGGGCACCTCAGTTTTAGTAGAAAGAACAGACATTTGGGGGGTTTCTGGTAACAGTTGCTATAGAATAAAAGCTTGGCTTGCATAAAACAGAGAACACGGGAAGAGTGAGTCATGTGACAGCAAGAATAAAAGGATTCCTTATGTTGTTTAGACTGCACTGGATAGCTGAGTTTTATCCCTGCTCTCAGCAACTTAAACATTTTTTGACACAGAATCACTAATTTCTCATGTGTTTTCCTTTCACGTTGCATTCTAAGTTCTTGTCTTAAGGCCTTGTGGTCTGATTTGCAAAAGTGCTGAATGCTCAGCCATAGGGAGCTGGACATGGAGCTTATAAAGTACTGTGGAACCCCAAGTGTTCAGAAAAATGAAATCTTAAGCATCTCAAGTTGGATGCCTATAGTGAATGAATACTTCTGAATGTAATCACTTCATGTATCAGAACATCATTTGCATTCTGAGAGCTGTATCATTCCCTTATAACATAAAATAAATTAGTGTTTATGCAGCTTTTAGACATTGTAGTGATGAGCATTTTAGAAAACTTCATGAGGAAATTAATATTCTGCCTTCAGAGCAGAGTCTGAATGACAAAGAAAAAGTATGGAGTTAGCTGTTCATAACATTTACTAAGGAAGGTAGGGTCTCTGAAAAAAAAAACTACCTGTGATGATTTAATTAATATTTGCATTATATTGCACATCCACAAAAGAGAAAAATTAAGATGGCATATAAAGCCAGAACCCTGGTGTTTCCTAACTGCTCTTAATTGCTTTTGCTGTCTTCTGCTCAGAGTTTTTTGCCTGCATGGTTTCAGAGTGGTCATTAGTCCTGTTGTCATTGATGCCTATGGGACAGAATGAGGCAGTTAACAGATCTGGCTTGGCCTGGCAGATCAGGAACCTTTACTGTTATTATAATGACAAATTTCATTCCTAGAGAGATAGGATTCCCCCTTCTTGAAGAGGAGAAATCTCGTGAATATTCTGAGATCTGCTCAGAGCAGCTGGGCTTGTATTAAATGTTCATTAATTTTGAACACTGTACCTGGTGTTCTGAGGACATATGTTGGAAAATCAGCAGCTCATGATGTTGTTGACTACTAAGTCAACAAATGTGATAAAATGGGACATCCTCTTTTAATTTAGTCTTATTAATAGTCCAGACTTTATACTGTGCATAGCTCTGTCCATTTTATAATAATCCAGCCTTCAGTTACCATGCTGCCTTTCTGTGCAAGCCAGAGAAAATAGCCCAGGAATGTTACTCTCAGTTTATTTATTTCTTAAGCCATAGCAATCTCCAAACAGCCTGTTTGTCATACAGAAATGACTGTATGCATGTGGGGGTAATCAAAGTGGAGGTAGTCAAAGTGGGGAAAAATTCACTCCTCTGCACCTGAACCTTTCATTGCACATCACAGGGAGAGGAAGGAAGACAGGAACATAACCTAAAACTGCCCAAGCAAGCCAAGCTGACACCCACCCATGTGATGGAAATGGGATCCAGTATATTTTAGAATAGGGTGTTGAGCTTTACTGAGTATATTGAAGGGAAACAATAGCATATGAGCCTCACCTGGTCATGGCTAATTAGACTTGCAAAGGCACTTAGCAGCTATAAGGGCATAAATGTAAATAAAAGCACATAAATGCTGCTCATTGCATTGTTCAGGTGTGTGTATCTCCACAGTGGCTAAGTGAGGACTGAGCCTGTTGAACAGAAATGCTTCTGAGGTGCACAGCTCAGACAGTTAATGGGACATAGTTACAGTTGTACAAAGGTAAACAGTGCACCTGTAAGGAGATAGTGCTAGTCAATTATGCTGACAACTAAAATGCAAAGGTGGTTTAAGACAGACAAATTAATTTCCTATTCATGCTGTGGGTGGAGTATGGGTTCAGTCTTGCAGTAGGGTTGGATACCAGGGAAACCAGAAGAGATATGGATGTGTTCATTTGTTAAAGGTGCATTGTAGGATTGGGTCTGTGGCTATAGGGGCTACAGAAGTTATGAACTATTTTTAAAGTACTTAAAACACCTTTTGCTGAAAGACTCTCAAGAGTTCAGATTTACCCTTAACTTGTTTGTAGGTTTGTTGGTTTGTGGTGGGTTATTTTACAACAAAATTATCAAATTAATTGATCTTCTGTTTGGTTTGCTGGGTTGTTTTTTTTTTGTTGTGGCATCTTTTGTTTGTTTCATTTTTTTTCTTCTTGTGTCTTCATCATATTTTAATGTTATTTTAATAATATTTGTTTTTTTAAATTCTTTTACTTCTGGAATCTCCTTTAACAGAGCTAAATCAGGATTTATGAATGACTCACAGTTGCCCCCCAAACAGTGTTTAAGTCAGCATTTTGGACTTAATTGCTATCTGTAGGATAGTGTAAAACTTTGAAGAATAAATGTGTTTTAATGGTATATATTTAGAACAGCAACAACTATTGAATTTGTAATTTCCTAAGGTTCTTAGGGGACTTCTGCAGGGAGAATTCCTCTGAACTCTCTGTGCTTGGCTGTTCCTAGAAGCACAATGCTTATTGATATCAGTTTTTTTTCTTATTGATCTGCTCAGTATAAAGTTATTTCATCTTCACATTTTATTTTTCTGTCTTTTTGCTTTTATCTTGCTCTGTGTTTAGTACACGGTGTGGACTGCCCTGTGGATCACCTGGAATGTTTTCATTATCTGCTTCTATTTGGAAGTAGGCGGACTTTCAAAGGTAGGTAATTTATCCTTCTTCAGGTTTACAGGAGGGAGTTTTAACAGAAAGACTCTCAAATTTTAAAAGGCTGGAACTCTAGAAGAAAACCTGGGTTGTTTAAACATAGAATTCGACCTTTGAAGTTCCCTTCCAATGAGAACTCCAGTGTTTGAGCTTGTTTCTGATAGTAAATAGTCATTGGTTTGAAGTATATAAATGCAATTAATCTGAATTACAGTTGCGAGGTACTGCTGGGGTAGGGAGAAGAAGGGTATATTCAGTGGAAAATTTGAGGTTCTTTTTGATTGTTGGAAAATTAATAATGTCATTTTGATTGAATTTTTAAGTGTTTATGAAAAATGTATCTGAATTTCTAAGACTGCTTTGAAAGCAGCTGAAGAAAATTACTAAGGAGGCTAATGTAATAACTTGTTGAACAAATTGGTCTCACAGTGAGGATGTTAATTCTTTAAAAAAAAAGAGCAAATGGCAAAGGATGACTTTTTTTGAATCTGAATAAAACTCCTTTTTAGGTGACACTCAGTGCTCTAGGTCACTGATTCCTTATTCAAACCTCTGATTAGAGCAGAAATGCTTGCTATAAGTATTGAGATACATGTTCTGTTTGTACCAGGTAGCACTTGCATTACTGTAAATTATATTTAGCATTGTATCTACAGGGAGTTGCATACAACATCTGCTGGTTTTTATCCTCCTGTTGGATATAGGTGATGTTCATCTTTGTTTACCACATTCATACTTAAATTATTCCAGGCACAATATGCCCATAGCACATGCTGATCCTGATATTATCAATAAATGTCCCCATTACTGGTTGTAGATTTAGATTTATGAAGTACATCACTGTTAATTCATGCAGTGCTTTTAGGGAATTGTGAACTCCACTCAGTTCAGATGGAAACATTTGTAAGCTTCCTGCTTTTTTGGGTTTGGCATTAAAACTAGCTTTTGGCTGACAACAACCAGAAAACTGGTAAAACGAGTAAGAAATAAAATTTAATTTACTCAGTAAAAATTCCATTAAAGTTAAAGCTTTCAGTGATAGATTCCTTTGGTGATAAAATTCCATAATGTGAATCTACAACAGTTTATTTTTCCTCCAAATATGATGTAATTCACCAGAAGTCATAAGCTTGATGAGGAAATTAGTACACTTGATAGACAATCAAAATAAATTATTGTATTAGTATGTTCTGATTTATAAATTTATTAGATCAATTGAAGAGAAACACATGGAAGTGGTAAATGCTCTAAGTAATTGTTCATTTTTATCCTATACAGAGTTTGCATTTTTTCAATCAGTTGGGTGATGGCTGTTTTTATAATGGCTATTATATTTTTATAGATAATTAGTGTTTTTTTATCTAAGTGCTTAGGAAGTGAAACTTACAATTTGACCCCTGAGTTTGTGTAAAGTTGAATTTTCTTTCAATTGATTGCAGAGGATTCTCATCATATCCTTAGTATATGGGGATTATAAACCAACAGCTATGAACTGAAATCTTCTATCTTCCAGATTCACCACAGTGTTTCACTTTTACATCTTTTGAACATACTTGACAAATCAAAATGCAGAGAAACAGTAGCACAAGCATTACTCAACAGTTGAGAAAAATCTCTTTTGCCAGTATGTACTTTGGTGGATCTCAGAATTTTAGTGGTATTTTAATCTTGTGGTTTATAATTACAACATGTGGAAAGTAGTTTCTTAAAAACATGACAGACAAAAAGTTACCTCCATGGAAATTAACTGCCCTTATATGGATTACATCAAAGACACCAATATCAGAACCAACCTAGTAATGATAGAATAAAGAATTTTGTTCAGTAAACCATGGAATTTGGGGTCCATTTATTGCTGTTTCTGGAAACTGTTACAGCTGAGGTGGTTGCGAAGGGACTGGTGTCTTTTGGCAACACATGCATAAAATCCGAGGTGTTTACAAATTGATGGGTATTTGACATTGACTTTCTAGGGACTGACATTTTACCCAATATGCCAGCTTAAACATTTCATCTTTCCATGCATGTGGTTCTGTGTTGTCAGGCATGGTAAGTGCTGTTATCAAGGTATGTTAGTGTGGCTGGCAAATCAAACATCATCAGAAGCTATTCAAGGATGGCTCTTTTCTCAGCATTGAAATCTTGACAGTGAATATTTACCTCTTTCCTTGCTATTTTTCTATTTTTCCATTTAAAAAAAAAAAAAAAAAAAAAAAAAGTTTTGTTTCTGAAATGAATGCAAATTGATTATAATTTTAAGTTCTGTTGAAATCCTGTCATGGAAAATCATTATGGTGTCTGGCAGCTGACTGATATCTGTTGGCTTATTTGTTTCTAAGCAGTATCATTTTAATATTTGTTTTGACAAGAATTAGGTGTTACTTGGAGTTGTGTGAATTGATTACATCTTCAATCATGAGTGCTATCAGAAAATAAAACTTGGGGCAATATTAAATGGTAGTTTTTTATGCAGTGTTTTCACATCAAGTATGCGTATCGTAAAATGTTCTAATAGAAAACCCCCACCTCAAATCTTATTCTTAGAAGGAAAAGGAGGATCTCCCTTGAATATTTGGTCTTCAAATTCTGCCAAGAAGTTCCCCTACAGTTAACAGAAAATTTCAATGTGTATAAGGACATGGGTAATTTAGGCCTGCCTGTTGCTGTTCACTGTCATGGAAAATCATTATGGTGTCTGGCAGCTGACTGATATCTGTTGGCTTATTTGTTTCTAAGCAGTATCATTTTAATATTTGTTTTGACAAGAATTAGGTGTTACTTGGAGTTGTGTGAATTGATTACATCTTCAATCATGAGTGCTATCAGAAAATAAAACTTGGGGCAATATTAAATGGTAGTTTTTTATGCAGTGTTTTCACATCAAGTATGCGTATCGTAAAATGTTCTAATAGAAAACCCCCACCTCAAATCTTATTCTTAGAAGGAAAAGGAGGATCTCCCTTGAATATTTGGTCTTCAAATTCTGCCAAGAAGTTCCCCTACAGTTAACAGAAAATTTCAATGTGTATAAGGACATGGGTAATTTAGGCCTGCCTGTTGCTGTTCAATTATAATGTATATTGTTCACACTTTCCTGGTAAACTGCCTCCTTTTTTTTTTTTTTTTTAAGAAACAGTTTGATATTTAGTGTAAAACTTCTAGATATAGCACACCAACATATTTTAACTTTTCTTGCTAAAGAATGATGAAAACTTCTGCCACCTACCCTCCCAGTGTCAAACATAATGTGGCTTGATCTTTACACCCTTTCAGAGGAGAATGATATTTCTTCACGACAGTGATATGGAAAGCCTGTGTATTTTCCACTGAAAACACACTTTTAAAAATCTTTTGCCAAAATAAATAAATAAAATCATACTTACACAAATTCCCACCCAAGTTTGTTTTTCACAACCTGGAGGGCCAAACTGGTAAACCTGAGGGGAGGAAGCTGGTGCAGAGGAGTGAGACAGGAACTGAAAGACTACCTGAAATGGACATATGCTTGTCTAATAATTCACTTGAGTCTCAGTCTCTTCTCCAGTTAATACCATACTATTTTATATAAAGAGGGAAAGTTTCACAGAAGACCTTTATTTGAAAGTACCCCTCAGTAACTACAGTATGGTAAGTAGAACAGTCTTCTCGGAAAAGGGTGTTAGGCATCCAAGTCATTTTAGCTGTGAAAGAAAAATAAACTTGGCTCTCCCACAGCTGGGTGTTGTAAGTAGAAAGCTAATGAGTGAAGGTTTCCTCTCTAACTATCTCATAAACAGCTTACGAGTGTAGCTCCTTTTTCAATTATGTTACAGATGTGTGAATAAAATTTTAATGCTTTCTCAGGGCTACAGAAATTGTGATTTATCAGAAATAAAATAAATATACCCATATAACACTTTCTCTGTGTGTTGGCTTAGATTTTTAATTTTTTTAATTTCTGATTTTAGAAGTAAAATAACTGCCAGTGTGAAAAATGAAAGCTGTCTATATCTTTTCTTTTGCTACTTTTATAAAATTAAAAGCATAATTTTTAGTGTTAACCATTCTGTATGTGAGAAACAAAGCTGCTATTATAACTTGACCTTTTAATCCTCACTGCAGGATGACAGATTGCTATATCTCTATATGAGCTCATTAGTTGTTTGAATCTTGTTCTATGTCTTGAAACAAAAATGTATTCTAATTGCCACATTTGAGAGTATAGACAGTTTTGAACAAAAATCTCAAGGTAATAAGAGGCAAAAAACCCCTAACACAGTACCAGAAGCTGTTGTTTTTAGCTTTTGTGTCTTAAATACAAACGAGAATATCTAACTTGTATTAAGCAGCCATCCACCCTCAGCAATACATACTTTGATGCATTTCTTACTTTTAAAAGGAAACCTAATTTATTTAGTGTGCCCGAATAAGAAGCTGAGAAGCTCCCTCTGCTTCCAAAAAACCCAGCCAAAGATCCATTAGAAGGATAATAGATGCACCTCAGTGATTAACATATGAAAGAACTGATAGGAGAGCTGAGCAGAGCTATGACAGTGGGAGAAGAGCTGTGCTGGTGAAGGAGAGTGGTGCTGGTGGTTGGTGAGGAAGTAGGGGAAGAAGGTGCTCAAGCAGAAGTTTCCTTGCAACCCATGGCGAGATGTCAGGCTGTCCCTCTGCACTCATGGAAGAACATTCTCTGAAGGCACCAGGAGGGGTGAACTTGGCCATTGGACTTGGATTTTTGTGGCCAGAGGATTTGCTGCCAGTGGACTCTGATTACACAGCTTTGGAAGACCCCGGCACAGGGGAGGTGGCTGTCTCCTTCAGGAGCCTGTGACTGTGGGAAGCCCAGGCTGGAGCAGGTTGCTCCAGACCTCGTGGGAAGGACTCATGAAGGAGAGGTTCATGGAGGACTTTCCCCCATGGGAGAGACCCTGTGGGGAAGCAGGGAAGGACTGTAAGGAATCCTTCTTCCTGAGGAGGAAGGAGCAAGAGGAACCACCAGCCTGTGAACT